AGAGAGAGAGAGAGAGAGAGAGAGATACTGCAAGGATTGGGAAGTTTTAGATACAGTAATCTAGTTCCTACGGATATTTTTGAAGTTCCTTTAACAAAGAAAGCAGTAGTATATCTTTAAACAACTTTCCACTGGATACTATTCAATCAACAAGTAGTATTACACACTACATGCCAGTCTCAGAGCTGGCCCTGGGGTGCAGACTTGAGTGAGACTCCGATTCTTGAAAACTTCTTAGGAATTATCCCTACTCCTCTCCTCCCAGTGGTCACTAGCTCAGCTCAGACATCTCCATTGACTCATCTTGAGAGCACATCCTCCTGACCACCCCCACGTGCTGCTTGTCTCTGGACATTTACAGTCACTCCTTGTGCTTCCTTCACAAGAGAAGGGAGACACGACAGGATGTACCAAAAGCATTACCATGTGAAAGTTCACCCTAATCCCTTAGGCCTCTGCTTCACCACCTGACTATCCCATTACTCAGCAGCTTTGGGTTTGCCTCCAAATCCCCATTCTGCTGGGCTAGGTTTTGTGCAAATGTTCTTCAGTGAATCGTCTCTGAGCATCAGTAGAAACCCAGTGGGTGGTGATGCTTTAGGATGAAAATGCCTGTGTCCGGCAATCATCGACTCCATCAGTCAGGCTGAGCCTGAGAAGCCGACTCCCCTCATCTCCGTTAGTTCTCTCTTTAGGGTCAGATGTCTTAAAAGACATTTGTTTTAAAACCCTCTCAAGGAAGCACCCATTGATCAGGCAAAAACCCGCATTCAGCCGGGCCCGGCCCAGCACAGCCCTTTGGTGGTGGTCACTCCTGCTGTCCAGCGGGGCTGAGAAACGGAGTGTGCCGGGCTTGAGACTCTCTTGACTTTTCAGGAAGACTCCAAATATCTTAAAACAGCGTGGTAGCTGAAGTACCAGCAGTAATAGCACGTTGTTCCTGAGCGTGGTTGTTGCCGTCGGGCATTGGTTCTGGCAGCTCTGAGCTTCCACGAGCCGGGCTCCCACGGGAGCGGCTCCAATGGGAATCAGATGGTCTCCTCGCAACAGGAAACGAGGTCTGGTAGCATTCCCTCAAATCGCCCCTTTTGGGGCATTTCCTTACAGAAACTATACACACCTACACCCTAGGACTGGTGGTCTCCACCTGATCATTTTAAAGCGGCTGTGACGCCATGTTTGCCTCCCTCAGTAACAACAGTCACTCCACTCTTGGGCCTAGGCTCTCCAGCCTGGACACAGGCAAGCGTGTTCCCATCGCCAAGCCTGAGGAGGGCATCAGGTAGAGGGAGTGGGGAAGCCAGCCGGCCGGCCCCCTTATAGAGCAGAGTGTTGGGATCCCCAAGCTGCCCTCTGAACAGACAGTCATCAGTCAGCTCTGGGCTCCATCATCCTGGCAGAAGCCCTTGCCATGTGGCTGGCTGTCGAAAGCCTTGCCCACCCACCAGGTGCACATGCACCCACAGGCTCAGCTGCTTTCTGGTGGCTCCATAGAGCAGTCCCCACCTCCCTCACACTCAGCGAGCAGTTTTGTTGCTAGCCCCTTCCCATTCTGAAAAGCCTGCCCAGAGCCAGAGTTTGGGGGATGACAAGGATGAGGGAGACCTGGGATGAGCAGGCTGGGTGGCTTCTGAGATGGTGGGACTCTTCTCCTTGGATCACATGCACTGTAGGCCTGGAAAGTCCTGAATGGTGGGGTCACTAATGGTTTTATCAGCCACCTTTCCCTGAGTCCCTGAGCAGGTCTGGGCAGCATCCTTGACCTACTTGAGTTCAGATTTGACAGGTGGTAAAAGCGCATGTTGAGGTTGCTGCTTCACAGGGTCCAGATTCATAACTATTGACTGATGTTCCTTCTGTCTTTGCCCGGGTGTTTGCTGTTACTTTAATGGATTGCTGCCCGGTGCATTCTGAGGCCCAGGCACTTGCCCTTCAGTCTGGAAAACTGCAGCTTGACCCTAGTGGAATCAGAGCTGCCTGAGGATTGTTTAGATTGATTCACTTTTTTCCCTAGAAAATAAATATAGTCGGTGTAAACAGCATTTGTGAATGTTCATATTTGCATCTTTGTGGAGCTTAGCTTTAATCAAAATACTCGAGGCTTTCCACTTCCATTTTCTGAATTTTTAACAACTTATACACTGTGTAGGTACAACATCTGGTCCTGTGCATCTAAGCGCCAAATGTGAAATGCTTGATGAACATAATTTATTTGTCTATTAATTATACTGATAAGCAGACAAGTCCTTCAGTTCTTCCAGTCTTTTGGGGTCGTGCCAGGAAGCCGTTGTTCTCCCAAAGGCTCTCAGTGGTTTTCAAGAGATATCTCCTACTGGTTCTTTTTCTTCCTCCTTCCCTGAGAAGACCACATGCACTGTTTATACAGGAAACCCCCACTGCTCTGGGTCCCCCAGCTGTGATTGGACAGACATCAGAGTGCCCCAGGCAGAGCCTGCCCGGCCTCTCAGCAGGCACCCGCAGCCGATGCGAGTTGCTTTCTCTCATTGTGTGTTTCCCGTTCCCTGGCTTAGAGTTCGCAGGCCGAAGCCAGCAGGTTATTAAAAGAATGAGAGTCATTTGACTTCTGACATGGATTGGGGCTCTGGGTTACTGAGTGTTTTGTTCTGATTTGAAACCGGCTGTTTGGTAACCACTAACTCTCCCCTTATTCTTTTCTTGCAGATGAGCTCACAGTGCCTGCACTTTACCCCAGTAGCCCTGAAGTGTGGGCCCCGTACCCTCTGTACCCAGCGGAGTTAGCGCCTGCTCTACCTCCTCCTGCTTTCACCTATCCCGCTTCACTGCATGCCCAGGTAATTTATACCCATCGGCCACGACTTCACTCACTCCTCCACCAGTCCTTTCAAACCTGGTTCCCAGAGCACACCATACAACTAACACCTACCAGCTAACAGATCCACCTTCGAGAGACTACTGATCCCCTCTAAATCGAGCTGACACTCCTCCAGGACTTACGAGGACCATCTGACAGCAATGATATCACCCACTGCCTGATGTTTGCCCAAACAACACCTCTCTCTTCCTTAATGATCTCACCCTCATGTCACCCACGAGGGACTGGGCCCAGGTGACCTCCCCAGCTCCCAGCCATCTAGAGGTGTCACCAGAGCATAGATGTGTGTGTGCCTTGTCGTGTGGAAGGGCCGCAGGGGAGGTGTGCGTTTGTCGTAGGAGTTACGTGTCTGCGTGTGTTTCTGCGTTCTGGGAGATTTTTCTCTCGTGCTCTCTGATAGCTAGTGACCAAAGGGGAAGTTGGGAGCTTCTAGGAATATGTTACAGAAGAAATTCAGGGTTTCTTTTTCCCATTATCAGGAAATCCTGAAGAAAAGAAAGTATAAAATAGTGTCTAGAATGTAATTGCAGGTCAAAGTAGAGGCCTTTATTCTGACCAGCTT